CTTAAGGAAAAATAATAAAAACACGTAACATACAAAAAATAATAAAAATGCAAGAGTACTCGTATAATACGTGGAAAAAGTAATAATATGAAATTATACCCAGCAGGGAAATTAGCCGAGAACAAAATCGTCATCAGTGCCATATCATTCAGTGTACTGAATAAAAAATAGGAAAAAAAATATTTATTTGTAATGAATAAACAAATAAAAACAAACGCTAACACGTTCCCGTTAAGTGTTTGACAAAGTTTCTCCTCCAATTTGTAGTGTGCCTTTTAATGTTGCCACACATATATGTATAGAGGACCTAAAATTTAAGCTTATTCAAGGCGGGCACACATTAGTAGATTCGCCATTGCCTGCTGAGTGACGTCCGCTGTTAGAAAAGGCTTCGATGTTGCTGGGACTAGGAATCGTCTGGGTCTCTAGAGTTATACTATTGTTCGTGCCTCTGCACCCTATATGGGAAGGCATTTAACGTATCCTAGCGCTTTGAAGGACGGTTTTTTCCAAATTTCAAACATAGTCGATATCGCAGAAGAGAAACGACTGGCGTACTCTGTTGGACTCGGCCAAAATCGCGTAGGACGTTACCGCACGTCTCCACCTTCTACTAAATGTGTCTTAACATCTGTAAAATTTCTGTTTTAACATTATTTCGTTTTCTCATTTGTCTTTACCAATGTAAATGGCGCAGTAAAATTAAACTACGAAATGTCAGCTGATGGTAAGAAATTCGGCACGACAGATATGGTTTAACAGTGGAAATTTGCGGTCTCCATCAGACATTTTTGTCTTAACACAGCGTTTTTAACAGAATCTGTAGAAGGCGGAGACGTGGGGTTACAGCGCCAATAAAGAAAAAGAAGAAGAAGATAGTGTAGAGAGCAGTTTCCCGTCTAGTATGCAGTGAAAGTTTTGATGTCCCCTCTGCCCATATCAAGTAGTTGCTAGGAAGATTATTTTGAAGGGCAGATAAATCATTTGTTTTGTCTCTGCGCTGCACATTCCATCCAGTTTCAATCTAGTTATTCATGCTCCCCTTTAGATATGTGTGCTTTGGTGAGCCCACAAAAGTGTTCCAGGTGACCAAATACTGCGTAGCTCCTTGTTTCGCTAGGCATTCTTATGGGGGTATTTGTCGTTTTATTTTTCCATGTTTTTACAACGCTTTTATCAACTTGCAATGTTGTGCGTCCAGAAACTTTCAATGTTGTGGATCCAGAAACTTTCAATGTTGTGTGTCCGACACCAAAGCAAAGCTTTGAAAAGTTCCTATAAAAAAGCATAGTGCATAGGGCGACAGCTGTAGTGAATAGGGCGAGGTAGATGACATCTAGATGTGGCCCTATGTACTACGTTTGCTACAGCAGAAATAGACGACACGCCATTTCTTTAAATAAAATTAATTGGTGCTCGTTTGTATGTACATACATATGTAAATGCTTGTGTGTGCACCTTTCTATTAATATCGTTGAATTATTTTAATATCTATTGCAAAATTTTATTCAGACAGGACTAAAAAGTAGAAAATAAATAATATAAAAAAACTTTTTAATATACAACGCTTTTATAAATGGACTAAAAAGTAGAAAATAATACTTCTCAGTCCCATAGAATTTGTTTTGATAACTTTTGATTTTGAAATTTTAGCAAAAGTCATTATAAACAATCTATGAAATTGAAAATGAAAAGCGTGTGGCGCATGTAATACACTTGAATTGATATGAAAAGTAATATATGTATGTATGTATGTGGGTATATGAATATCGACCGCTTAAAATCGATTTCAAAGTTCTACTTTCACTGTAGAAATTTTAGGTCTACGTTATGTAGTTTGACTATTGTCAATT